TATAATTTAATATAGTTAACTTATATCACACAAAGAGTACCGTTTTTCTGCAGATATCAGCAAGAACATATTTAATAATCATTTTATACAAGTTCAGTAAAGCTCAAGTACTATTCTAAACGGTGACTTCAATTTCTACCAAAGTCATTTTCTGGTAAGATATCTGTACTTTTACTTGAGTATGGCTTTCAGGTACTTTATACACCACTGTTTTTGTTCAATAGTGTATAACATTTGTACACTAAGGATTTCATTTCATTGGATAACAAAATATAAAATCAAGTAGCATCTACAAAAAGCTGATGCTAGAACTTTTCTCATAATCCACTTTAGTTTGAGAGTATCCAAATACATAAAAAAATTATAATTAAATTGATCAAAAGTGACACTAAAAACTTTGAATGTTACAAAACATTCGATTTCAAAGATATGCTGTTATTCTGAACATTCTTTTCATCTAAGAATCCTAAAAAATGGTTTATACATAATATTAAGCAGCAAATCTGTTTTCAACATTGATAATGATAAGAAATGCTTCTTGAGCACCAAACCAACACATTATAATGACTTCTGAAGGATCATGCGACCCTGAAAACTGTATAGAATTTACCAGCACAGGAATAAATTAAATTCTAAAATATATTAAACAGAAAAGTTATTTTAAAATGTAATAATATTTCACAACGTTAGTTTTTACTGTATATTTAATGAAAAATATGAAATTTATGAATTTTGTTTCTTTCAAAAATCCTAACATTTTGAATGCCAATGTATGTTCGAAACCTGAAGGTTGAGCTATATATACATGTTTAACTTAGATTTTGTTCCGTAATGCAAATGCATTCACACATTTTTTTAACCATGTTTTTAGTGTTCAAATACTTAGCCTACACAAATCTCATGGTTTTTATTTCCATTTATAAGATTTATTATTTAGGTTATAGTGTGGTGTATAAAAGTTTGTAATAACACCCCTGGTTTCATGTCACGACAGAAATAGAAGCAGATGACAGCCAACCTTCAACGAGACAAGGACAATCAAACCCCTAATCACATAATCGCAACATATCAGCTCACTTATAACACAACACATAATGAAGCGAGCGACACAGGAAAACATTAATTTGAGATGACGCAATAAGAAGCATGTCTGCAAGTCTCATGCAGGTATCTGTTTTTGCGACACCTCTGTCACTCTGAATTCTGAATGCTTCCATTCATGCTTTTGTTCTCCGTTATTTGATATGTCACTGCCGGTGTAGAATATGTGGAAATATGAGAACAAGCAGTCTTACCCATGAAAGCTCCCACATTACCAATGAGACTGAACAGACAGCTCTCGGGAGGGAAAGATCCACATTTACTGAATCAAAGTGAAGACAAAGACACGGTCAGATCACGCTGGAAATAAACACAGGCTCGAAATAAAGTGCACATGACTACCTGATGAGGGGGATGTCTTGAATGGTGCAGCATGTTTTTGGGAAGCCCGGCTTGGCTGTTTCATCTGTGCATGTTACATTGTATGACCTTTACAAAAAACAGCATTGATTATCAAATTACATAAACATCACACGCTTTAAACAGACTGAGTGAAACAAGCCCAACTTACCAGTTTTCGACAGGACAAACATGGTGGTTCATTACAGCCATAGCATATCTGAGGACACAGCAAAACAACACTGTATATTTGAATTTGTATATGTGGGGAAAAAAGCTCAGATTTCAACTTTTAAAAAATATTTGACGTAACAAATTATAATTCATGCATTTTAAAGTGCCCCTATTATGCCAGTTTTAAGGTTGCTAATATTGTTTTATGAGTCTCCTAAAACAGGTTTACATGCATGCAAGGTCAAAATCAAGTTTGTGGTAATTATAAGATGCGATAAAACAAATTTACTCTCACAGTGTAGGATACAGCGTCTTCTCGACAAGATGTTAACCACACGGAAATTTTACTGTGTTTGTGGGCAGGCAAGTTGGTGACGTAGAACGTGGGCAGACATTATGCAAATGTGTTACTTCATGACGCAATAACTTTATTAATCATGCACTGTCGGCTTCACAACTTTGCAGATAGTTTATGTTCACATACAGCTACATGACACAGTGCATGAACGGTAATATTCGAAAAGGGTAATAGGGGCACTTTAAGATGGATTTGAATAATGGGTTGCAGCATATTAAAACTCACACTATCCATATCCCAGTGATAGAGAAGGCAGCCAGGCTGACAGGCAGTATGATCCAGGCAGTCATTGGTCTGACAGTGAGGCCAGTCTGTCCCAAGCATGAGGGGGAGGAACACAGAGGGCTGGCAGGGTGAGACACAGGGGGAATGACGAGGGGGCACTGACATGCAAGGACACACAGGGAGGGGACATGAGAGGAGGAGAGGGATGCCACGCTGCTCCTTCCTTCTGGCCGCCAAATCCAGGCCTAATCAGTGTTTTCAGGAAACAAAGGAGGTGAACAGTGGAGAGAGAATTAGACAAACCATTTTAGAAATGCTTCAATTGAAATAACCACTTTAACTTTAAAGTCCACTTTAAAGTCATGGAACATAATTTGCAATCCGTTTTACTTCCATAACGTGACATTTTGCGGAGCGAGACAGAATGTTCAAGAAGACAAAAAATGTGAGTGGAAAGAAAAGGTCAAAAGATGAGGGATTGATGACATTGGCCATAAAAAAGCGCTTTCAGGGTGGAGCAAGGTATTACAATTTGATGAATTATTACTAAATTACTTTTAATGGAATAATGTGCACTGATAAATCATTCCAAAAATGAAGACCATGAACGTGCATTTAAGTCACAAAGAGACAGAAGTAGCGACAGATCTTTTCTTTCATGTTGCGACGAACATCCAAAGCGCAACGGGTTATCGAAAAGTCAAAAATGAAGGGTGGGGTCTTGGTTCTGTCTGGTTGTTGATTGGATGAAGAGCTTGTAGTCACTTGTAAGAAAAGCATTAAGAGGACTACAAGATTGAAGTAGTCCAGTATACGTCATCCAGTTATTTTCTGGTTTAAAATTATCAATTCAAAATAATAAATAAATAAAAAAAGAAACAAATGCATAAGCTCAGAAAATAGATTTTTTTAACTTTAAGAAAAGAAAGAGAAACTATTTTGACGTCAACTAGAGCAACCAAACAAATGTTCATGCACGAGTATTAGTTGCCAGTCTCAGTGTTTTTAGTGTTTGATTCCACTTGCAATTTGCCCTTTTGACCCATTGATTAAATATCTAAAAGCACTTCTAGTCCAAAGTCAATCCTGCAGTTTGAGTGTGTGTGCTGCAGTTAATTTTGTTGTAAAAATATAAGCTATTCTGGAATTCTGAAACACATGACTGCCACATGATGCTGTTTGAAAACCTGGAAAGCAATACTGAAGAGTGGTTGATCACTAATGAGCTGTGGTACAATGACTACAATGCTGCCTAGACAGGCAGCCCACTAGGTTTTCAAGCATATACGTAATCAGAAAATCTAAACCTTATTTTAATATACAGTACACTAAATGCATCAGCACATAAAAGGCTGCCACTGATGTTCACATCGAGTCGTCGACTTAAGTTAGTCAGGCAGGTGAATGTGCTGCTGTGTTCGTGTCACTCATTTGCATTAGTTCAAACTAAAGTGTCATACAGGTGGCCTTCGTTGATCTCACTGTATCTTTTGTATAACCAAATAGAGTTGGCAAATCTTCTGGTTCGTTTCTAAATGTACTGGCTGATTGTTTCAATTCTCAGGTAGCAGCAGTTCCTTGTTCACTAGCAATAAAGCTAACGTTGGTTGTGTTTCGAAACCTTGTGCGCCGCCTTCCTAGACAGCATTTCGGAAAACAGTCAAACGCAGCTGAGATGTCCCAAAATGCTGTCTAGGTAGGCAGCTCACTCGGTTCTGAGGCAGCCAGAGTCCACCAAAATCTTTAAACAACTGCTGCCGCGCGAATTCCTTATTGCTTGTGAGTTCTAACGCTGACACTAAGTTCTGCCCGAAATATCTGTGAAGATTTTATGTTTAACAAGCAAACAAGACGTTCATATTTACATACCTTAAGCCCTGCTACTCCCTGCTTCCAACCTCACTCAACCTTGGTTGTTGCTTTAAGATAAGGCACTGTCACTAAAGCTGCTTCTCGCGCCTCACTGTATTTGTAGTTCTTCGATTATTTAAAAAGAATGCGTTGCAAGGTGTCGCAATATTCGCTGGACTACTTCACCCACAATGCCAATGTACGGCGGCCGAGGGGTTCGAAAGAAATCGTCAAGATTGGTAATACAGCGACGTTCAAAGGTAAACAGCGTAACTGCAAGAATAAAATGACTTGAGAGATGTCATGTATCCTTATGTATCTAATATTTACTGGCCAGAACAATGATTTTCCTTGTTATAACCATAGTACAAAAAGGATATAAAAGTAATAACATGCCTGTCCATTTTGGCTGTCATGTTGCTGTGACAAGAAGTTTTGTCATAACTAGTAACATTTTATGATTAAAAAAAGAATTCTTTTGAGATTAAGCTTGCATTGTTGTGTCTTATGTTTATAATAAGGTAATAGATTAAAGCATATTTACTGTTTCAGTGTTTGTTGTGTCTGCCTAAATGCAGCAAATCCCTTTTTTATATGCATTAAGATGTCATCAATACAGCCAAAAGAAAATGAATTATAGAGAACTTCTTCTATTGCATTGTGTAATTGAGTATACGACTAACACACCTAATCATAACGGGGTCAGAAGAACTGCTTTTTAAAATGTTCTCTAAATTAACGTTTCATTACACTCTTTGGAAATGCAGAATGGATAGAAACAAACATCGAGAAGATTAAACCCAACTGATTTATTATCATAGTCATGAATGAACTGACTAACTTGAATGAAATTTTAAGTAAGAATGCACAGGATAAGGGAAATGTAATTGTAATTCTGATCAAAAACCATTTCTTTTGAAGTGTTTGGGTTTTAAAAATGTGTTTTTAGACTACATACAATTGTCCTTGTCTAAATAACTCCAAGTTAATTTTCTCAAATAAATGTAGGCTAATTTAATTTAGAACCAGCTTCACAATCTGGGCTTTAAAAATGTTACATGCCCCTAGATGGCAACAGACCACAACCAGTCACATCCCAGTATTAAATAACAGCTGCAGTCGCTTCAACATGATAGTTTTATGTTGTGAGGTAAATCGCATCTCTATTAAGGAGCATTGCAAATGCTGTATTCTTGACACACGTGAAGACGAAAGAAACGAACACAAGTCACCACACTCAATAGAACACCTGAGCTCGCACATTTGATTTCCGTTACCTTTGTAGTAAAATAGTGCTGTCAGTTCGGAAAAGCTAACTGGGTCCGCTAAAATGTGCATGTCTTTCACTGTCATTAGCCAAGAAACAACACCCTGAACGTTACTCTGTCTAATCGAAGGCGAGCAAACAACTTTATACTGCAAGTACATATCAGATTCAGAGGCATGTGGACGCACCTAAATTTCAGGCACACTGGTATAAACTAAAGACGTGACATCAAATGACAAATTCATATCGGATTCCTGATGGCTGACAAAATGCATTGATATTGGAATTCAGATAACATTATGAAAGCAGCAATGGAAACATCAAAGCATACAGACTTCAGACTTTGAACACTTTCAAAGTGAAATCAAAAAGGTTTCATTTAATATGACAAAAAAAATAAAGTCCTTTCCTTTCAATTTAAGATGCTGTTTAATGTTAAAAAGAAAGAAGAAAAATTTCTCCATTTTTTTGGCAGTAGCTCTCAACGTGTTCCTGAGTGAAAGGCATTACAGTGGATCACTACCACACTGAATAGCAGTTTACATTGCGCAAGTTTATGAACATTTTATATTTTCATTTATTTTCTCATGTTCTCAATGATTGTGAGTGACACAATTAGTCTTTGGCAGTAGACATCTTGCTCCTTAAAACGATTTTGTCCAACAGCATTTCATGCCAATGTCAGTTTGTGATAAAATGGGATTCAGTAGATGAATAAAACAACATTTTACATTCTTCATATGCAGACTGAATGACATGCACTCAAAATCACACCTCACGAGTAGATTCATGAGTAGATTCCTTTCTGCATGGATTTGAAAGAAATCTGTGGAATTCTGGGGGTGGACTTCAATATTAAGGAAATCTGGGGTTTGGGTCCACAGATTCCATGTGGGCCTCCTCATGAACCATTGGTTATTAGAAAGAAGAAATACCTAAAAAAGAAGAAGAAAGTGCAATCAAGCTTCCTCTCAGAACAGAGCCGTAGCAATAATTAGCCACTTTCCCATTTCAACAGGAAAGTCTGAATTAAGTCTTGACGTTCATATTAGTAGAAACAGTGGTGCTGCATGGCTTGAGCAGAGAGTGGCTGGATAAAGGCACGATGTGAGAGTCTTCTTCTCTTTGCCTGGCATCTGGCCCTCATTCTTGCAGTTTGAAGTGGAAGCTATTTGTGCTCCACTGAGTAATGTCACAGTTCAGCATGGTGCGCTCCGTAAAGCTCACGTTTCCTTCTCGGTCGATGAGGATGACTGTATTGGTCCTGGGATAGACAAACACAAATATGACACTGGTTAAACTTCACAACTGGAGGTAAACTAGAAAGTGCAAAGAGAGAAAGAAGTAAAAGCATGATGGGACCTTGTGCCGTATCCTGGTGAGCGCACACACACTGCAGACAGGGCTTGGAGTATGGCCTTACTGAAGCCTACACCTTGACTCTCCTGTTCGTGGTCCGGGGTGTTTCTGAAAAGAGTAGAAGTGAGATTCTTATGACTCTAGTGTGACAAATCAAGCTGACGATTCGATTAAGATCGGAGCAGTTTTAGAATGCACAGAAATGCTACAGGTATTCACATTGTTTATAAAAAAATATTGAAAAATACATGACAAATATGACATAATAAAATGTCATATAAAGTAAAAACTATCATTACCATAAGTCTCTTATGCTCATCAAGGATGCATTTATTTGATAAAACAAAAAGTAATATTGTGAAAAATTACAGTATTAAAACAACTGCTTATTACTAATGTTGAAAACAGTTGTGCTAATGGATATTTTTGTGGATTCTTTGATGAATAGAAAGCTCAAAAGAACAGCTTTTATTTGGAACAGAGATCTTTTGTAACATTACAAATGCTTTATTGTCACTTGATGAATTCAATGAATCCTTGCTGAATAAAAGAAATATTTTCTAACTTACTTTTGAATGGTAGTGTATATACACTTAGTATATATACTAACTTAATCGGTTAGTTTCTAATACTAACCGATTAGTTGCAATGCAAAGCTTAGAAAATATAAGATATAAGAACTGACACAACTGCACGACTATTTACTTAAATATCATAACTGGTTTTAAAAAACAATTACTCACTGATGAATACATAATTAAATTATGAATGCAAATAGGTCCATAATGTCTAATTAGATGGCTCTCACTTCCATAACTTCAAACACATACACAGTTATAATGCAGAAAATTTATTTATTAAGAAGAAAACATATAACACTGCTGTAAAGTGATAATATAAAAAAGAAATCTGTAATAAAAAAAGTGAAAAACAACGAAGCTTAACATGGAAGTAAGTTTTGGACTCATCCAGTGTACGACTCTGAAGAGCTGCTTTTTAATATCTAAATTCATTATGATATGCTGCCCGCATTCACCTTATAAAACCTGTAGAAATGAGACTTCAAAAATCATGCTGCTTGTGCTTCAGAGTAACTTTCTAAAAATCCATTTGCTTTGTGTCTCAAGTGCTTCTTGAGGATCAAAAAGGATGGATGCTGGTTTGATGAAGAAAGGTAGCTGGACGATAAAGAGAAACAGAAAAAAACGAGAGAATAAGAGAAAACTAATTTTCCTAATGAAGGAGAGTGCACACTTACAGCTCCTCATTATTGAGGATATGGAGCAGTTCCTGCACTAAGCCATCAGGGGGCAGTGTTTTGTTCACTACACTGGTGAACAGCCGTTTGCCGTGCTGCAGTTTTCTCCACGGAGTTTCCAGAAGAGAGTTACTCAACCCATAGATTCCTGCTGAAACAAACAATCATCCATCACTTCCTGTGAGCTCTGAGTGAGACACACCCACCAATCTGGTGCTGAACAAGCGAAAGTGGTCTGTATTGCAGACGGTAGGTGTAACACTGCAAACAGCAGTGCTTTATGCAAGACCACTGGTGTCTGAACACAGAGCGCTAACTGAGGGACTGAACAAACCTGCTTTGAGATGAATGGGCTCTGAACTGCCCTTGTTTCCATAGTAACACAATGTGTCTTCATTGGCCCTGCATCCAACAACACAGCGAGAAAAAAAATGAGTTAGTGCTCACTGCTAAAACACAATTAAACACATATTTACAGCTATTTTTGCATCATTTGTCACTGTAAACGCAGAAACAATTTCCATAGTTATGTAATGCATACATAAAGAACTGTAGAGGAAGTCAACGCAAATCAACACATCCTAATTAATAAATTAGCAAAACTCAAAAAACAAAACAAGTCTATTATTTTACAGATATACTTTATACTGTATACACATTTTTCACATGCTTTGTTATAGACAGATAGACAGAACGATAGACTGATAGACAGACATATAGACAGACAGATAGATATATAAACAGACAGACAGATATACAGACAGACAGAAGGACAGATATATAGACAGACAGAAAGACAGATAGATAAACAGACAGAAAGACAGATAGATATAGAGACAGAGAGAAAGACAGTCAGATATATAGACAGACAGACAGATATATAGACATACAGACAGACATATAGACAGATAGATATATAGACAGATATACATACAGAGAGATATATAGATAGACAGACAGATATATAGACATACAGACAGACATATAGACAGACAGACAGATATACAGACAGACAGAAGGACAGATATATAGACGGACAGAAAGATATAGAGAGAGAGAGAGAAAGACAGACAGATATACATACAGAGAGATATATAGATAGACAGACAGACAGATATATAGACATACAGACAGATATAAAGACAGACAGACAGATATATAGATAGATAGACAGACAGATATATAGACACAGACAGATATACAGACAGACAGAAGGACAGATATATAGACAGACAGAAAGATATAGAGACAGAGAGAAAGACAGACAGATATATAGACAGACAGACAGATATACATACAGAGAGATATATAGATAGACAGACAGACAGACAGAAAGACATACAGACAGATATACAGACAGACAGACAGACAGACAGATAGATAGATGACAGACAGATAGACAGTCTCTGTCCTTCATCAGCTCATGAAAGAAATCTTCCCAAATCAGCCTGTAATTAAGGAGGAGAGTGAATCTCCTTTCAGTTTGTATGTATGAGCTCAGTCAGTCCATCATTAATTTATGTGATTAGACATGTTCTTGTTTTCATACACATGAATCTAGTGGATGGATCCTCCGTGAAGCTCATTACTCCTGATGGAACTAAGGTGATATAGCCGTGTGTTTCAGAGGACATTTTATTGGCTCAGGAGACAAAAGAGGATGGCTATGAAAGGAGAAATGGCCAATTTAGGGTTTTTGAAAGCACTTTGAGAGGGACATCAATAATGCTGGTTGAACAGTTTGGCAGCGATGACAAACCACGATGAAGAGAAAGACAGACAGTGAGGAAAGGACTTCAGAAGCCTCAGAACTCTGGAGACTAGACCCCGTCGTATAAGTACTAGGGATAAAATAAGTATGCAGAATAAGTATGCAGAATGCTGACTTTCCGTAAAACCACATCTGTTTTAGGAATCTTAAAAATGAATGTTTATTAATGGAATTTTGCTGAACTACACTACTTTTTTTTTGGAGGATTAAGTGCACCGAAGAGATGCAATTAAAAGTTTTTCCCCCCTCTGTATTCAGTTTCATTGATCTACATGTTCCACATATTGTTTATATTATATACTTAAAAAATTATTAGTTCTGTTCTAGGATGATGATTGATTAATGTACAGTGTTGGGCTAGTTACTCAAATAATGTAATATATTACTCATTACTAGTTACTAATTTCAAAAGTAATATTGTTACTTTACTTATTACTTTCTTGCAACAGTAATTAGTTACACTACTAGTTACATTACTTTTTCTTCACGCCCCACAGAAGTTGTAACTGTGTATCATCCACATAAAATTCTAGTGATTGATAGTCACATTCAAGTAGAAGTGTTGTATTAATCTCATTAATTGTCATGTGTAGCTTGAAGCTAATTATCATTTCTCCATTACCCATATACGATTATATTTCATTAAGTTTGTAAGAAACTTTACATTTCCAAAAAGATTTTTAATTATAGTAATATAATGTACCGCATGCTGATCAGAGGGATGTGGGTGGGATGTAATGCCAGAGTAAATAAAGCCACAACTTACACAAAAGTGTTCATGATCATCTTTTTTTCCTGACAAAATCAATATAATGCAATATTTCTATCTGCTGAATGTAAGCTTTTCCATATTCCAAGCTTGCCTGCTGCACTGGGGACATCACATGCATGTGCGAGTCGTGAAAATTATGAAAATAAATCTAGGAATGATTTGATTGTTGGATTTTAAATCAGTGGGTTGAGGCATCAAAAGTAACTAAGTAACTAAGCTGTTTTATGGATGGTAACTGAAATATTATTACTGAAATCTTATTAGTAATTAGTTACACTACTAGTTACTGCAAAAAGTAATATTAATACAGTAACTAAGTTACTAGTTACTGCCCAACACTGTTAATGTAACATTCCAGACATGCTAAAATACATAATATAGTAAAAGCTATGACACAAAACACCTGTAGCTACTGTTTATATCTTGTACCGTATTGTTTAAATATACATAACTCCCCATTACACCAGCTGTGCCTATAAAAAGTACTTAATTTGAGCAATCTCCACTGGCACAAACACAATACCTTCTAATAATGGCCTTATCTATCTCCACTAATGCATTAATTGCACTGAAAGACTTTAAACACTGGGGCATAAGAGCCAAATAGCATTCTAATGATGTATTAATGCAGCACAATAATTGCTAGAAAAGGTACAAATGAATTTTGTACTGGAGACATGCTTTCACTAATATTATTTTCACAAAACAAACTCAAATAGCAAACTGTTCAGTTACCAGTTTTAAGCACTATGCCAAGGGCATTTCGTTTTGAGATTTGGATCAGAAAGACCAAGCCTTATACAGCTAAAACAGCCAGTCAACTCAGCAGACAAAAATTTTAGGGTTACACACCCATCTATCCTACCAGCTTTCAGGGATCTAATTTTAACTACATCCATAACAGTAACGCTATCCAGCTACACCCATGAATGCCATACAAAACATATAGTAATATAATATAATAATAATTATAATAAGTAGTTACTGCTGCCTTCAGTTTAAATGCCGTATTTCCATGTGAAATGAGAGACATTTATTTGTGAACTGCAGGTTTGCTGTCAGCTCCAATCAAGATTTTAACACCTTTAACACCTCTGTGCAAAGCCTACATTGCATTCTGTTAGGATCAAAACCATACATGCTGCCACAGATATCTTCCTTCCTTCTACATCAGTGTTTCTCAACCAGGGGTCCGCGGTCCTTGACGTAAGGCCAGGGGGTCCGTATAAAGTATGAGTTTTTGTATAAATTTTGTATATTTTGACATGACATGTTCCCATGAAAGAAAAATCCAATATAGCTGATGATATGGCTAAATACTGGACAAGTCAGCTAACTTGAATTATACTTGACTGTATTTGGTCCTCACAAAGACACAAATGATACATAGATGAGTCAGTTTTGTTCTGGGGGTCCTTGAGGATGGTTCTGAATTGGACTGGGGTCCGGTACACCAAAAGGTTGAGATTCACTGCTCTACATGACCCCACCTTGACTGAATAATAGGCATCATTGACTTGTCACATGTGCACGTGTTCAAATAAAGTATTCTGCCTGACATCAGAAAGTTGCATTACATTTTAAAATACATTAAAATAGAAAACTATTTAAATTTTTTACAACTTAAAATTATTTTAAATAATATTTTCACAATATATCATATTTAGTCAAATATTTCACAGTATTATGGTTTATACTGTATTTCTGGTCAAATAAATGCAGTCTTGGGGAGTACAAGAGATATAAAAAAAAATAAAAACATTAAAAAAAAATCTTAATGACCCCAAACAAAAGTTGCAGAAGTATAGAATGATAATTGTCTTTTTTGTTTTTACTGGGGAGGAAATTCTGAAATTTACAGAATGAACACTTTAGTCTCCAAAGATCAAGGACATTTTGATTCCTCTTGAATTGAGCCCTTGAAAGAATCTATATAGTGTATAAGTGAAAGCTGTGAGCAGCACACTCAAAGAGGAATTTTAATACCGAACCTGATCTGAATAAGCAGAAATTTTTTTTAATTGGGCTGAAAATATCACATAAAACATAAAGGCTATTATAAGTGTTGTCAGTCACATCCCTGTAGAGGAACAAACAAAACCTCTTTATTGTTTTGGAAAGGCCATCTCTATTTACAGAAGACAGCTGTATTGATTTCAGCACAAAATGCCCATTGTAATTCCTCAGAGTTTATCTGGACATGTATCATTTTGTCCTTTGTGGCTGAGGAAAGAAAGCGAGAGTCCGATAATAATAATGATCTTGTTTATTAAAAGGGTAAACAAATGAATAACACTCCCCACGGCTATGGCTTTCTGTTTCATTACTGGGTTTTGGAGTCTGAGTGGCCTTCCAATGTATTTTCTGTTTATAAATATTTGCTTGAAGAGACAGAGACGAATGGACAAATGTTATCCCTCCAGTCCCTCAGATGGCAGCATGGACTTAAGTAATACATTACTAAATTAGCAGACAGCCTTTCAGCAAGCTAAAGGATGGGGAGATGATGACTTGTTTTAAGTATATCCTAATATCCAGTTAAATACACATTTCAGTGTCAAGCGAATTGCTAAACACTACTCAGCTATAGTATGTGTGTTCACTCCTATTGCTATTGCTTATGTTACGGTCATTGTGAATGTATCCTCAGGCTACAAGTTTGCTAAACGTAAAATAAGCATATTTATCCTCTACACTGAACCACTACTATGGTATTATACACACAAAAACATGAATTATTTCAATAAACGACGTTATTTTTGACCTTTAATATGTGGAATCATGAAACCCATCTTCTTAAATTGCCTCAAATTACTATGCTCTGAGAAAATCACGCTGCTGGAAACACGCCATCTGTTCAGACTATATTCTAAATAGACTTCTTGAGCTTCAGTATATGGAGAGCAGGTGGCGGCACCAGTGCCTGCTGTCCTTCTTAAGGACTCCAGAGCTTAGACAGTATCATCACTGTCATGTCATACTCATAACAAATGATAAAGAAAGTGAGATCATGGTTGAAAGCGAGTAGTAATTTTAGAGCTATTTCTCAAAGCTTTGCGTCTCTTTAAAGGGATAGTTCACCGATATTCATTTTTGGGTGAACTATCCCTTTAAACAGGCTTGATATAGCACCAAGTGGTTATAATTAGTGACAAGTGGTTTTAATTAGTGAACTGACAGCTGAGATGTACATGGTTTAATTTGATTTAAATGAAAGATTCTGTAAGAATGCATCACATTATATATATTTTTTTCCTGTGAAACAGCATAACAAAGGCATTTTAGGTTTTATTATTTGACAGCATTTTAATAAGTAAGCTGATTTGAACAAAATCGTATCATGAAATATCTATATCTAAATAATTAGTTTGATGTAGTTGTTTGAAAACTAAATTATGAACATATATGCCACCAAAAACCTTCACAAATACAACAACTTCACCTCTGAAAAATATCAAAACACCAAATTTGAACCTATTAGTTTGAATGAGCTTGCTTTCTCAAATTGAGGGAAATCTAACAGTCCGAGTCAACCATTTGGTTTATTCGAGGCATTCACCATTTAAGCAAGGTTATATATATATTTGGAAAGAACCAAACAAGATTTACCTTTCACCACTCACCTGAAGTCAGCAGTAAGGAGATTGAAGCCATTATATAAATGAGCTTCTGAAGACACTTTACGGAGGTACGCGAAACTGTCCAAGTTATCTGTCAAATAATTGGACACCAGGAAACCTGAGTAAAAATGACAAATGAAGACAGGCATGTATCAATAATCCAATTTATTACAACCATGGATTGTGAAAGAGGAATAGGTTGTGAACTGCTTGGCATTTTCATTTTGTCCACTCTCAAATATGTCATTTAGGCAGATTTAGAGAACTAATTGCTCAAATTAATGCAATTTGTTGAACAACATGTACAGAACCATATTTCTCCAGCTCCTGCACGCAGCTGTTGTGTACAACCATCCAAATAACAGCTGGGTTGTTTGCATTATTTTTAGTGGCATGGCTTTGGAACAGAGGGGTGGGGTGTGTTTGAGTGCTAGTGAGGTGTCAGCATATACAGAGGCCTTGAAGAGCTAAACAGACACTGGAGTGATGACAGTGAGCAGTCTAGTTCAGCTGAGTGGAGATCTGCAGTGAACAGCTGTTTGCGTCTCTGGCCTCACCACCCATATGCACGCGTTTATGTGAACATGTCAGCAATCATTAAGAATAACATAATTAAGGCAACCCCACTTAATATTCAGCCCAACTTCTTCAGCATTGTGGGTTATGAGTAAAGACCTTCCAGGAAGCATGTTAACAATGTAAACAAACTAAAACTGCATCATTAGAATAAGGTTCATATTGGATAGGTGTGCTCCGATCAGGATTTTTGAGGCCGATCACAGAAAGCAGTATCTGCCGATACGATCAACGATACCGATCTTTTTAAAGCCTTCTTTTTATCATGTAGAATTATTTATAGTGATGATCCAATCAAGATTTTTAGACATTTATTCAGGGCCTGAATTTCATTTTTGAAAATGAATTCTCCTCTTAGGTGACTCTTGTGAGAGGGGATTTTTTCATTTGAGGGGTGGAGGGGGACATTTTTCAAAAAATATATATTTATCTCACCTAAATGTTTGATCATGCACTGCATTTTTGTTTTGACAATCGTGCAATTGTTGCACAATAGCTTACACACAAGCCTGATTTCATGAGCTGTATGTGAGGCAGTGTTACACCAGGTTCACACATACTCCGTTTGCAATGCGTATGCAGTCCATGTGCGGTATAGAATCAGCACTGACTGTGCTTTCACACAGGAGTCTGCTCCTGATCCATGGCTGTTTACTACAAACACAACATTTATCCATTATTTTGATTTCAAATCCAAACATTGTTACTTAAAATGCTTTTTCAGCATTGTGACACAGTACAGTAATACGGTCTTTCATAGATGTTTAAATGCAATAAATATAAGAAACACATTTTTCAATGCTTTGCATTTAAATCTTTATAACAAGCAATCCTGTGGTTCATAAAGAACTTTGTTTTCCTACCTCCACGCGTGCTATCTATTATTGCCTTGTTTATCTAAAAGTGCTCTTTTCCTTTAAACCTAGCCAAAAAAGCCATAGCATATGTGTTGACTGTGAAACACAGTAGACTTTAACTATATGCATTTATGGTGTAATTACAAAATTTTCGTGTCAATCCATGTTCATATTTACTGCAAACAATGTTCATATTTACCGCAAACAATGCGCTGTTACTTTAATTCAGCGCGTGCAGCGCAGCAAAAATAGACTTGGTGCGGAAACGATCTCTGCACTGCTGCAGACGCACCGCTCCTGGAAAGCACTGCCGGACCGCAACCGTGTGCACGCTTTATTCCGTTAACATGAGTGCGGAAAAAATACACACCGCATATGCACTGCAAACGGAGTAATGTGAACCTGGCATTATGTGTGTGTGCTGTGAGTGAGCATGAGCGCACTGGCAAGAATTAAAAAGAAATGCAATTTATAAACTTTAGTGACTCGATTGTGACAATTCCTGTGTCAAGTGCAGCTCGCTTATAGTGCAGATGCAATGTGATTTGAAGCTATTTGCGCATTTTGAGAGAGAAAAAGACCGCCGATCAAACATCCCAAAGCGATTATCGGCCGATAGTGATCGGTAGCCGATCAATCGGAGCACCCTTAATACTGGAGCATTGATATTTGAAAATGTAAAAAAAAAATTGCAATCATGTGTTAAAACTAGGGTCATTTTAATCTCAACTGATCTAAAAAAAAAAAAACAGTTATTAACTCTTTAAACTTGAACGAGACATTATTTTCAACGGACTGTCCTGATTATATAAAGAGGGCCACCTCACCATAATCAGTCACTCAGATCTAAAGATTCCAGATTCCTCCTGGAGTCATAACACATAAAATCCCACAGACACGCATGTAGCCAAGTATATACAAATGTAGTATTCGTGTGGCTTTTCCGCTCGGAACTTCATCAAACATGCACAGATCGAAAATGGCATTAAAAACAACAATTACTTACAGTGGTTACTCCTGATTGAAATGAGCCCAAAATCAACAATCGATTGCATCAATCATGAGATATACCTCACGGAATGATCAGATGCAACATGCTACATGGCTAAAGACATGTCTCTCATCTTTCTGGGATGCAATTATGTTATCCAATGTTACTGGAATCGTCCATGTTTGTTTTTTTCCAACATCGTTGTAAATATTCTGGAAACTCTACCAATTGTATATTAGAGTCAGGTCTAGCAACACCTACCTGTATATTTGGGCTAGGCGACGAACCAATCGGGTGGTGCTCGCAGATGCAACTATGCTTTGATCTTGAAAAAGGTTGAGAAGCTCTACCAATGGATGTTGGAGTCTATCACCATACAATTTGATCCAGAACAAATTTTCTTCCTACCTTATTTCCTTCCTGAGATATTGCATGGCAAATAACAAAGATAAGTGAAATTTCCCTTGAGTGCACATTTATTTTCTGTCTTTTATCAGAGGTTTCTCAGCATGAGAAAGTCCAAATGTAATACAAATCTATTTTCTAAAAATGTAAAAGGTTTTCTATCAAATGATACCTACCATTTGACTCATTGCTATAGTTTTGGAGTTATGAGTCATTACTTTGTGTATGTCACTGAGAAAACAACCATTTTAAAAATGCCATTTTATTGAGCATGAACATTTCCATAAACCAACATGGACGGAGGGACCTGAGCCCCATCCAGGGACCAGAGACTTAGTCATGGACTCTTGTGATTTAAATGGTTTAACAACCACCCAGAATATCATAGAAACCACCTAGCAATGCCCTAACCACCACCCAGATTATCCTAAAAATAGCAACATGCTAAAAAACAGTAAGAAGGCCTTAAAGGGGTCCTATTATGCTTTTTCACTTTTTAAATTTTAGTCAGTGTGTAGTGTGTATGTTTGGGCATAAAAAAGATCTAGAAAGTTACAAATCTCAAAGTCCACTCCAAAGGGAGATATTTCGTTTTTAAAAAATAGTACACCCCCAAAACAAAATCAAGACTTTGTAAAAGAGCATAATAGGACCCCTTTAATATAAATACAATACAAACTTTATTTCTATAGCACATTTAAAACAACTACCGTTGACCAAAGTGTTTTCCAGGACACATTAAAACAACAAGAAAAAAAAGCATACAGTCACAAAAGTCAATATAAAACCTTAACACTCTAGCCAGTTTTAAAGGCCACGCTGAAAAGATAAGACTTCAAACTCGACTTAAAAGCATCCACATTAGGATCAGATTTAATGTGAACACAACTTAACAACCATATAGCAACATCTTGATAAGATGGACAAAAATTTCTAGTCCAGTCCTAAGCCATATCTACAATGTTACAGAACTATTATAGGAAATTGTGAAAAATGTGGCCATTTCTATCATCATGTGTGAGTTTTGCATAGGCAAGCACCACTCACATTTTCTTTAGAAAATCTAGTTATTGTTATTATTTCTTTTGCTGATTTGAAAATCGAATTTAGTTTTTATTTGTGAGAAAGCATTTTGTACAAGCCCCTTTGGTCTGTTTTTACTTTCTCAGCACTTCTGTTCTTTGGTAAAATTTATTTTAGCTTTATGCTTGTATATTATAAGCAAATACATTAAAAAAATGAATTCGGAGGTGTGCATGTATAGAAGTGTTGGCTGCACAAGTCTTTTCAGTATATTAGTCTATGATACATGTTTGCATATAGCAATTTTGATGAGAGACTCGATCTGCTCAAGCTATATATATATATATATATTAGGGGTGAAAATAAATGCAGGAAAATAATCTCTGCATGCCTGCTTACTTGAACGAAGTACATGGACGATGAAGGCTTTTAAAAGGTGAATTATGCTACTATTAAGAGTAATTTGTCAGGGTAATACATTGATTAAGTGTGTCTAGTCAATTGCTCAGCAATAGTAGAGTACATTAATACAAATGGGTGAAAGATCTGCACTACCTCTCCCCTGAGCATCTGGATTTTGCCATGCTTCCAGGTAATTGGTCAGTGCTGCCAGTTTCCCTCGTTTGCTAATTCCCAGCCATGATCCGCCTTCTTTGCCCTCTTCCAGGTCCAGACCTAATGACAGAAAACAAAAAGTCATTGTAATTTAATGTCAAAGTGACATTAAATCCTGTCTGCTGGCTATAATAATAAAACCAGCAAGAGATCAGATTTAGATGTACTGAACAGCTCTGGAATGTTCACTGAGAATGACCTAAACTGAAAGTAAAGAATAATATTTTCTTGATACTGAAAAAAAAGAAAAAGTACTTTATAGGCCCAAGTAGACTGATCTGTCTAGTGCTTTGAAAAGAGGAGAAATTCTGAACAACTGAATCACTAAATTCTACCAAAAACAAGTGCTAGATGGTTTCATGCAAAGCTACACAGCAAAACCACAGAGTGATTCTTGTTTAGTAACAGCCCATTAATAATGGTAACATTTAGCTTAGTATCCTTAAAAACACCTGGCCTTCTCATCTTCACCCAAAGACTCCAACATTTCTCATCCATACCCTACACGTCACTCCTCCAGACAGATAAAGCCTTCTTCGTTAGCAGCAAAATTGATTTCTACCACTACACTAAAAGCACCCATGTACCATTCAATTCTGTCTGATCCAAGGATTGAATGGCAGAACATGGACAGAAAAAACTAAACAAAAGCCCCATGATCTTGTGGAGCTAGGGGAATGACCGATTTCTGTTCTGGGATGTATTGTTTAGCAGACTCTGGGTCATCAGTCAATTGAACAGTTCTTACTCCTTGAGGGTGGTCAGCTGAATCCTGACAATGGACACTTAATCAAACGTGGATGATTACCTTTTCCTCTCCTAATGTCAGATTGATTATGACTGAATTCCCACTACTGAGGCATGATGCAAGAGACTTAAATGTAATTATAACCCCTCAAGCAGTAAATGCAACCAGCTTATCTTCTAAATTATTCTCTTTCCTCAGGAAAAAATAATCTTCAATAATTCTCTCCAAACTGAATGTTCTGACAAATAATAATCACTGACTCACTAGATGATGCAGTTTAAACCAGCATGAAGTAGTTTGAGGAATTTGATTTAGCCATTTTTCAGTGGCATCAAATCTTTGAAAGGCATGGCAAGGCAAGTTTATTTATATAGCACATTTCATACAC